ATTTATTGAATGAAATAGTCTCCATTCTTATCGATGATGCTTTTCCATCTTCCAGTCAGGTTGTTAATGCCTTGACTAAAGAAATCACTTGGCTTTTAAGCAAAAAACATGTCGATGTCCTCTTTAACACCTTCCACAGTTGCATAAGTTTTCCCATTAAGATGATGTTGTAGTGAACGAAAAAGATGGTAATCTGATGGTGCCATATCTGGAAAATATGGTGGGTGGGGGAAAACCTCCCAACTCAACTCCATAATCTTGTGTTGCGTCAAATGTGCCACATATGGACATGCATTGTTGTGGAGAAGAAGAACACCTTTCTGATTGATGAGTGAAGGGCGTTTCTGATGAAGGGCTTGATTTAAATGTTCCAATTGCTGACTATAAATCTTTGCATTGACAGTTCGCTGTGGATTGAGGAGTTCGAAATGAATTACTCTTTTGATGTCCCACCAAATACAAAGCATCACTTTCTGCAGATGGAGTCTAGGTTTTGGGGTCAGACGTGGTTTTTGTCTAGGACTGAGCCATTGTTTTTGGTGGATAATATTCGCATAGAGAATCCATTTTTCACCAGAAGAGACGAAGCAACATTCACAACTTTGAAATGATGATCATCGGAGAGTTCGTGAGGCACCCAAAACACATTCTTTATGGAGCTTTTCCATATTACTTGGATGTTTACATATTGTTTCGTGAGAGACATGCAATTTCAGAGCCGTTTCACGAGTGTGTTGCCTTGAGTCAGACTCAACAAGCATCTTCAGAGCATCAATATCAATTCCAACAAGTTGGCCCCTGTCATCACAGTTTTTAAGGATAATGTCACCTGAACGAAATTTGCTGAACCATTGTTGACACTTATGAACATTCAAAACATTTCCATAAAATTACATGCCGAATGTGTGTCATCACTCTAAGGGATTACAGTACACTAAACTTTACACATTATATAGGCTACAAGAACGTGACGTTTAGGCAGTTCGTTTAACTATTATATGTGATGTATTGTTGTTTTTTTTTGGGGGGGAGGGGTTAATGAGTGTTCCAAAACGTGACATAATTTCTTCATGACCTAAGCTTTAAATGTGTTAAAGGATTTTGGTGTGGGTTTTTGTAATAATTTTTAAAGTTTTCGTTACTGAATATAATATTAATAAGAACTTTTAATATGTGCCCCATTTTAGCTAAAACTATACTCTCTCTAGATATCCTGTATGAACTTACTTCCATGAAGAACACAAACATTACTTAAATACTAAACATGTGATAATGTAATTTAAAAAGAGCATTATTAAAACTACTTCAAATAAATTTCGGCTTACCCTCTTTCTATATACTTCATCCTTGATCCCTTCCATATTGATAGTGACATTCCAGTACGCTCCCATGAATCCCGTCTGTAAACACTTTATACCAACCTGAAAGTCACGAAAATAAAGCCAATGTTCCAGTATTTTCTGTTTCACACTACAGTATATCAGGAATTTGTATTACACTAACTACCTATATGATTTTCGTTAAATAAAATGGTAATCTGTATCAAACAATCTCGCACTAATTATATATTACAACGGGGAAATGTGCTTAAATTAGTATCACACTAAATGTTACAAAATGTTATTTTCCACCGAAAACAATTTCTTTAATCAACTGCCAGTTACAACATATTTTAAATGGCTCGAGCTAACCCACTATTATATTGATACTGTCTGCCTCTCAGGAAACTCTAGAAGCTGTTATATTGCTCACCTATAGAGCTAAAACTGCTTACAGTATGAAAAAGTGGGCGTATAACGACAGTATGAAAAAGTGGGTGTATAACGACAGTATGAAAAAGTGGGTGTATAACGACAGTATGAAAAAGTGGGTGTATAACGACA